TGCTCCCTGGATGTTGACTATTTGCACATGTAATTTTCTGACTGCAGCAGAGCCAGAGTAAACTGAGCCTGAACTCTGTGGTACCGAGTCTGCCTCCTCTGACCTCACCTGGACACTCGGCTGGGACACCTATACTGCATCTAAGGGTAGTTTTTGCTTATGTTTCTGCAATTTTCCACAGTATGGCATTAAACGTATCTATTTCGGAGTCAAGCAGGTAATCTCAACACGCCAAGTAACAGGTCAGATCTGTCAAGAGGCGATCCTTCTCACTAAGATGCATATTTTAGCAATACACATCTAAGTGAATAAATATAAGATAGATGAGTTTTCTGCCGTACTGTGGAATTTCAACTTTGCCACTGAATGTTGAATGTAATTAACTCTACAAACGGCTCACTTCAAACCACACACTCCATATCCCCACATAACCCCTGCAGGGAGCCCAGAGAGACCCTGTGCATGCGTTCTTCAGAGGAGATGTACTCAAACAGCTGAGTGGGAGTCTTTCTTCTTTACTGTGGCGGTGGCGGTGGGCCGGGCAGAGGCAGACCACAGCGCCTCCCAGCCCGCAGGCTCCCGAGGACAGGATAAGGCCTCTTTTGTTCAAAGCTCCGCCCACTCTTACCACACGGACCCACGCACACCACAAAAACACATCAATGCAAAACACACGAGTGGATGAGAGACAGGGACTTTTCTGGAGACTACAAAGTGGAAATAGTGCTACTGAAGTTTTAATTTGTAAAGCTGAAGGATTTAGGAAAATGTCCAATAATGACTTGACAAACATTATAATTGTAATTTATGTTTTAATAGGTGCACTCTGTAACCTTTCTAAGAGTTCTACCACCTGTTTGTCTCCATGGAGATGTTATTTGCTTTGCCTGGTGTTCCACAGTATGGCATTAGATTTCGCTCTCATTTATTCCATTACAGGTGTACTCATCGCTCAAAATTACCTTAAAAACATGGCTTGTGACTGCTAGCGGGGTCGACTCTCCACAGATTTGACCCGTAACTAGGCCATGTGGTCATGCCAGCTTAATACCATACTGTGGAACATCCCAAACAAAGAAGCGATCGATGCTAGATGATAGAAATGTTACATAGTGTACCTAAGACTCAGTAACATTTGAATAATTATCGAGAAACTACAGATTTATAAATAAAAAGACTAGGTACTTTCTTGTTTACAGAGGATATCCCTGCTTTTGCCCTGCATGATTCATTAATTACATCCATTCAAATTGTGATTTCAGTTTGATCATAATTGCGCCGCCCTCAGTAGTGGTTTATGGAAAGTTATTGAACTGTTAAAACACACCCGCAACTATGAGGTGTCAGTTGTTAGACTCAACAACACATACTGGAAATATAAATGACTAAGAAATAAATTAGCTTGAAAGTGTTACTATGGTTACTACAAGACATTATAGTCAATAGAAAAACAAATGTAATGAAATTCAAGTGACATTTCTGAAAACCAAATTGAGTAGTTAGAGTAGCAGACCTCCACCAAGTCAATTATCGACTCTAACCAGGGATCTTTCAGTTATTCTCTTTCTAAATCAGTCATAGGGTATTTTGATGGTACTTTAACCAATACATAAACATAATCTTGTCGACAAATAATACTACAAAGCAAAGTGCTAAAAAGACAGATTTTAAAACGAGTGTTAAGATAAGATAGAAACTATTTGACATTGAAAAGGGGGGAGAGATTTTAGTAGAGGAAAAGCCAGACAAAAGCAGCCATAGTCACCACAAAAAAAAAAAAAAAAAACAGCTCTTGGGACAGATTGAACCATGAGGAGGGTGTCCGATAACAATCTCTACAAAATCCAATGTGTGTGAGTGGGACAAACGTTTTACTTTCAATACAGTCTTTCCCCCGAAAAACACCTATAATTTTCAAATCAGGGTTAATCACTGCTGCTAAAACTGACAATGTTAAACAAAGGCAAATTGCTATGTCCTACAGTGTGGACTATTTTTAGAGACTTTTTCTGCAACAACAACCTTTCACTCCCCACTTTAGTGCAATCACGCTGTGTCGACAGATGCAGGTTTTAACAAGTCGTACAACACAAACGCGCATTCGAAACTCAAAATAAGACTTGATTGGGATGGCCCCTGAAGCAAATGAGAAGCTTAAATAAGAGCAGACCATTTTAACCTTGTTTCCTGTTTTGTTTCATATTTGCTGCGGTGCAGTAAAGTAGATGTTAATTATATAGGTCACAATATACGGTAAGAAAGTAAAGGTCATATATTACGCAAAATTGAGCCTTGTGAGCTTTAAACCATGTCGAAAACATACCTGGAGTTGTGTTTTGTTTCATGTACACATATTTGAGTAATCTTGGTTTATTTATCCAAAACTGAAATTATCCAAATGATTCTAGTGACGATGAAAGTAGTTTAAAAACACTGTGGAGCACACTGCATGACATCACAAGGTGGAATGTGTTTTCTGTTTGAGAGAAGAACTCTGTAGGGTTTGTGTTTTAAACGTGTGAATGAAACAAAACACAACTCCAGGTATGTTTGTAATGAGGAAACATTAAAATATAAATTAGAAAATGGTAGGGGTGCAACAATATCCAAGTCTCACGATACGATATTGTCACGGTATGAACCTCACAGGTACAATATTTATTATGATATCGTGGGAAAGCTCATGATCTGGTGGGGAGGCTCACGATTAGGGACGTAACAATATCCAAATCTCTCGATATGATATTTTCATGATATACATCTCACTGTATGATATTTATTGTGATATTTTGTGGAGTCTAACAAAACTGAATATGCTACTTTTTCCTCTTAAAATGCCTTAACAAGACTTAAAGACTTAAAAGTGCTTAGAACTGTTATTTCATCATGTAGTCTACACTGAAATGGAGCTATTACTGCACCAAAACTCTTAATATAAGCAAAGAGACTTGTAATTCGATATACTGTGATGGTCCATGACATTATTGTGAGAACTTTGACGATACCATATCACAATATTTCAGCTACTGTTACATCCCAAAAAATGGCGTAAAATGTGTCCTTTAACGATAATAATATTAGTATACAAAATTGTAACCGGAGTACTATGGTTTATGGTACTTAGATCCACCCAAATACATGTCATCTGCCTTCAACAATAATCTTTAATGCAACCATACAAAAGGCTTTAGCAATGTTTATTTACACTACTATTTTATCACCAGCAATTCAATGTTGACAAGCCTTGCAGGCCAACAGCCAATGGATACCCTTTTAATAACACAAGTATGCTGGAACGTGATTGGCTCAAACTTGTTTTGTCTTGAGGTCGACATTTGCCAACCCTGCGTGAATTGAGATCCTAATAGCAAATTTTAGAGTTCTGTAATACTATAAACTAACAGCGTTAAGCAATTTTGTTGGAAAAATTTCCCATGAGGCAATCCCGGAAACCACCTTGCTCAAAGTTTGACTACAGTGTTGACTTTTTACATAAGAGATTTTGAGCTTGCTTTTCCAAACACCCTCTCATCCTAGATTTAACTCTTATCTGAAAACTGCTTAGTATTTTCCAAACAACCACTGCTTTGTGCACACACTGAATTACATAAACCTTTGGCAATGAATGCGCACTTTTTAATCCACTACCCCCATGTACTTTCACTCACGTCACTAAGAAAGAGTGAATGTTACTTATGTTTCAATATCTTGTGCACAACTGCAGAGGAGAACCACCCAATAGCTCTTTTAATGTCTCAGCAATAAATAGCAATGGCAGAGGTCCCATGACTGACTAAGACAAGCCTGGAGTGGAGGGGAGAGGAGGGGGGGAGAAGTCTGACTCTGCTGCCCCCAGACCTGCACTCATTCCTGGGCAATAGGAGCTCCAGAATCTCAGGAATTTCTGGAAGTGGGAATGAGGGAATGCCGGAGATGTGAAAAATCTTTCTGTAGTGTGGTCTATAAGAGGGAGAGCCGTGTGGAGCCAGTTTAACCTGGTCAGGCTCAAAGTGGAAGGTCCCAGTAAGTCTGCCTGGATACAGTGCTACTAACCAGCCAATAGAAATGAAAGAGCTATTATAACCCATAGTTGTGTTAATGTGTAGTTTAATGTTAGAGTGGTTCTGCAGGTGTAAGAGCAAATCATACCTATCGTTACTTGATTATACGCTGCAGGCAAGGCACATGTTATACAATGTTCAGACAATGTGATAAGAAAAACCTTCTCAAACTACACAAAAAAAAACTTAATGACGCTATAACTAGTATCAAAACAAAACCAGTATCAGTACTCGTGCTTGTGTGGTTTTATCAGCTGCTCAAAAATAAAAGGTGCTATGTGTAACCTTTCTCATGTTCGGTCTGTCACCTTGTTTCTATGGATATGTCATTGCTCTACTTGGAATGTTCCATAATATGACATTAAACAGCTCTACCTTACTTTTATTCAATTACAAATAATTTTATAGCTTACCTAGAAATACAGACATTCTGACTCAGTGGGGTCACCTCTCCACAGATCTGACCTGTACCTTGGTCTCCATGAGGATAGAAATACTATACTGTGAAACATTCCAGACAAAGCAATAACATTTCCATGGAGAAAAGCATCAGACGGGCCCTCCACCAGAAAAGTTACACAACGCACCTTTAAGTTAAGGAGATTACTTACTTTTTCCAAATTATGCAAATCAATCCAGGCAGGAAGGAGTTAACATGTGATAATAATTGGCAACACTGCATTGTTCTGCTCTGGTCAAGCTGGTCAAATTTTTTTCAATAAAATCTAATTCTCCCACCAGCTTCATTTCAACTTAACTACTGTAGCCCCTGAGCAGAAGTTAAAACATTTTAGCTTTGATAAAACCGACTGAAATCTTGTTTATATTTTCAATGCACTTTGAACTAGGTAAGAACATATCTTTATTTTATCCTTATGTTTTGAAATGAGAAATGACAATTAATCCACTACATTTTTCCATCGGGTGACAGATACTCACAGTTGTGCGGCGAACAGTCGGCTCATCTTGGCCACGTGCTCATTGTCATCAATGTCGCTGTCGCCATGGTCACCGCTCAGTTTCCTCTTAGTGGGGCTGATGGGAGGAGGCCCCGTGCGGTGGTTTGAGATGGAGGAGGTGGAGGACAGGGACAGAGCCTGGAGTCTGGGGTCCGCTCTCAACGCTCCTTCACCTGGAAAACAGAGGGAGAGAGGTCAGTAGGTATATAAAGTTATGGCTTCAAATCTTCCAACATAACTGCGTAACTGCTTTAATGCTCAAATCATAATTTTGCTTATGTCTTATTATTAAATGTTTTATCAGTTCATCAAGCTAGTGCATTTCTTTAAAACTTGTTTTAGGGGCATACGAAAGCATTTTAAATCTGTATCAGTGTACAACTGATCAACAGTCTATCAGAGCCTCCCTTATATTAATGAGGAAGTACACTTGAAAGTATTTAGACTTAAGATTGGTCAGTACTTGCAATCACACAATCAACCATTAAAACTTATTAAAACCTCCATTAAATTAGTAGTAGCAGTAGTAGTAGTAGTAGTAGTAGTAGTAGTAGTAGTAGTAGTAGTAGTAGTAGTAGCAGCAGCAGCAGTAGCAGCAGTACTAGCAGTAGTAGCAAGAGTAGCAGCAGCAGTAGTAATAAAGTAGTGGTAGTAGTAGCGATAGTAGTAGTAATAGTAGTAGTAGTAGTAGTAGTAGTAGTAATAGTAAAGCAGTAGTAATAGCAATACTAGCAGCAGCAGCAGTAGTAATAGTAGTAGTAGTAGTACTAGTGGTGGTGGTGGTAGTAGTAGTAATAATAGTGGTATTGGTAGTAGTAATAGTAGTAGTGGTCGTAGTAGTAGTGGTAGTAGTAGTAGTAATAGTAGTAGTAGTAATAGTAATAGTAGTAGTAGTAGTAGTAGTAGTAGTAGTAGTAGTAGTAGTAGTAGTAGTAGTAGTAGTAGTAGTAGTAGTAGTAGTAGTAGTAGTAGTAGTAGTAGTAGTAGTAGTAGTAGTAGTAGTAGTAGTAGTAGTAGTAGTAGTAGTAGTAGTCAGTAGTAGTAGTAGTAGTCAGTAGCAGTAGTAGCAGTAGTAGTAGTAGTAGTAGTAGTAGTAGTAGTAATAGTAGTAGTAGTAGTAGTAGTAGTAGTAGTAGTAGTAGTAGTAGTAGTAGTAGTAGTAGTAGTAGTAGTAGCAGTAGCAGTAGTAGTAGTAGTAGTAGTAGTAGTAGTAGTAGCAGTAGCAGTAGCAGTAGTAGTAGTAGTAGTAGTAGTAGTAGTATTTGCATACAGTCCATGCCATTTCACCTAAAGCGATGTTTGCACTACCATGTTTTATTCTTTTATACTGCCTAACCCTGCTTTTCAGTGCTGTGCCAAACGCCCAGGTGATGTCATCCCTGTTGCCACGGGACACCGCGGGGTGAGGGAGAACATGTCAGAGGGTGAGGAGAGAGAGCAGCGGTGCATTTGGGAAGGCATGCTAAATATACATGCAGGAACTGTGGTGTCATGGAGAAACATTTATCACTCTCCAAAAGCCTTTTACTGGCGGCTGCGGTTTGCTCCTTTCAAAGTTTAGAGTAATTAGAATTTAAACTGGACAGGACTATAGCGCTGTAGACCCATCTATAAATTAGGCTGCTCCCATGCTGTAAAAGTGATTAAAGCAGTTCTGTTTGTATTACTGAGGCACAGAATCATTATTATAACCTTATTTTTTCAGACTACACTTGTGAAAATAGCAAATGACATGTTGTAAAATTTGGAGTAGTCCTGTCACGATCAGTTTGAACGATAAATGATGACAAACGATCATACTGAAACTACTTTATTCCTCTGATACATTAACAATGAAACAGGATAATCCCAGTAAACCATTATTTAAGTATACAGTATCATTAAAAGGCCTGAGCTGCAACAATCAAACAGCAGAATGAACTGATATTTTGCAATAAAAGTCACTTATTCAAACCTCTAAAGCTCAAATCTTAACATAATACAACTAAAATAACAAAGAATATGGAATAATTATTGTGGTTATCCTCTTAATGCTATGGTGCTTACATTGCTTTTCCTGGAACGTTCCACAGTATGACACTAAATTTACAGATCTTTTTACGGCCATCTCACCTCCTGCCACAGATCTGACGTGTAACTTGGCCTAGTAGTGGCATCACCTGCTTGTCTCCATGGTGATAGTTCAGTTTAAAAGCATATTATGGAACACTGTAAGACCGCAATGCTAGTAATGTTTCTGGACTATAACACTGTACGATATCGTCACGGTATGAACCCCACAGTACGATATTTATTGCGATATTGTGGGAAAGCTTGCGATATGGTGGGGAGGCTCACAATTAAAGATGTAACAATATCGCAATAATTTCAAAATATACATCTCACGGTACGATATTTATTGCAATATTTTGTGGAGGTTAACAAAACTCTTAATATGCTCCTTTTTCCTCTTAAAATGCCTTGACAAGACTTAACCAAAGAACTAACATTTGAAAGTGCTTAGAAATGTTACTTCTTCTTGTAGTGTGTAGCAAAGGATCATGGTCTATGTAGTTCAAGCTGTCTTTTTTCTTTTTTTTAGCTATTGCTGCACCATAACAATGAATTTAAACAAAGAGACTTGTAATTCAATATATGGTGATGGTCCACGATATTATTGTGAGAACTCTGACAATACGATACCACGATATTTCAGTTACTGTTACATCCCTACAGTCCATACATTGACTTTTCAAGTAATTAACCCATATATAGACTTGTAAAAATGTGCTCTCTGTGCCTAAACAAAACAATACTACTACTATCTTTTCTCTCTGTTAGCTGTAAAACATGAACCTAAACTTTTACCCTAGACCTCATATCAGGACATAGATTCACAAGTAGATTTTGAGCAGTGGAAAGTCCCCACGCTGCTGAGTTCAGGCCAGTAGTAGTTTTCCTGCTCATCTTTGGTTCTTCCTCCCACTCTCTGCCTCTGTGGACCTTCTGTACAGAGCAAGGCCAGAGCAAACCCAAAAAGCCCTGTCCCAACCACACACATAAACCGACCGACCAGCCCCCAGCTTTAGATTTCCAAAACATTCAGACTAGATGTGCTCTGTGCCTCTTTTAGCAAACCGTATGAATTAGCCGGATCTTAAGCGAAAACACAGCTGGACAATGTTAGCTTAGCTTTTGTGGTCAACCTGTTTAGACTTACAATAAACATGCTGCTTTGTGCTTTAAATTACGTGGGTCTTTCTTCAGTAATTGCCTCTATTTGGTTTTATAGGCAGCCAAACACCTAGGGAGTTTTTCAGTTCACTGCTTCATCATTCATTCATATAGTTTAAATCAGCACAACAAAAATAAGTGGAAAATGTATCGCCTTGAGACCAATCATAATAGTAATCGATTTGATAGTTGACAATACTATTCCTGTGTCACAAAGCTTGGACCAATCAAATGCTTACGAACACAGCGCCTACTTCCTCATTTGAAAACCGGACAGTACCATTGGCTGTCAGTCTACGCCACAATAAAATAATATATGACCAATTTATGATCTTGAATTATGACATTACATTTATATATTTTACACTTAAACAATTACAGGAGATTTATTGCTCTTCAATATCTTGGAAAACATGCATTCTCACAATAAGCGAGCACGCCCCTCCGCAGATCTGAACTGTAACTTGTGCAAATACTGTCCCATAGAGCGGAACATTACAGGTAAAGCGATAATATTTCCATGAGACAAGCAGGTGGCAGACCCTTCCCCTGAAAAGTCACATACTGCACCTTTAATTGAACAGAATATTGGGTCAGTTACTCCAGTGTTGGTATAATAAGATATTCATAAAAACATTGAACTTCAAAAATCTCTCATCTTTTAAGTCTTTTAAGTCTTACCCTTTTGACTTGAATTCGCCTTTTTACACAGCGATGTCAAATGAAAATGCTTTATTATTTGTGAACCAGCCTCAATAATTGAACTGTGGGGTAGAGCCGTGTGCCCTGTTCCCCCTGTGCCCTCAAGAGTTCATTAGAGCCACATGATCAAAGCCGCTTCTCTCCACACAACTTCAAACACAAATCACAAATCAGGAGGAGATTGGATTTCAAATGGACTCAAATATCTGTCTCCACTTGGCTTTTTCCTCTGCTTTTTGTCCACCTTACTCGCAAAAATCAACACAGGTAGAGTCTTCACTTTGTATGGCATAAAAGGATCACTGCACAGTAAGTTTGCAGTCACATTTACACACATAGGTCATCAAAATATGGACTAAATCTGGGACTAAACCAGAACTAGAACCAGGACAAACTGGGCTTAAATCAGCAACACACCATCAAAATGTAAAAAGCAAAAAAAAAAAGTAGGAAAGTATATCTCTCGAGAATGAAACAATGAACAAAACTTCCCCATTGCAATAAACTTAACAATACTTCATTTGCACTTTGGAAAGATTTTTGTGTGATTAGAATAATAGATTGAGTGTGGGTTTAACAATCAGATAACAATCAACTAAACACACAGATTCTTACAGGTATTAATGCTATGCCCCAACAATGTTTATGAATGTTTACTATAAAACCAGTATTCATGTTCCATCCCTGTAGCCTGTTATAATTGAATGGAAGCATCACAGTCAGCCTACATGAGAACCCTAAATATGAATTAACTTTTCTTTTACCCAGTATGCAAAACAATGTCCAACCTTAGCATTTCAAAATCCTATTTTAACATATAACAACATTTAGTCTAAATGCAGGACAAAAATCCTTACAGAAAGCTCCCCTGGTCCAAAAACATGACTTGGGATGGTGCCAATTGTAACCTAGATGAGAGACAAGCATTTTCCTGTTTTAATTTTAATATGAATCTATTTGTAAAACAGAAATATCTCTTAATTTAAAACAAAAGAATACATTGGTTAATGCTTTACATTGCAGCCCATATAGCCAAAACAGACATTTTATGAAAAGACAATACACTGGCTAATAGAACATTATAATAACCCAAACAAAAAGCAAACGTTGACAGGTCTAGCCCAAACATGGCTGAAAAAGGCAAACTACTCTTGCTTTATGGGTCTAATAACAGTGTAACAAGCAGCTGAGGCGGCACTATCCCGGAGCAGGCAAAGAAAACAGGGGCCACGCAGCTCAGCCAACGTGACGACGCTCA